CAACAATAAACTTCAACACTAGATTCCATTCATCTCAGCCCAGATAGTTTAGAAAGCTATTTCAGNAGCCAGGTTACCACGAAAAACCAACCACCGTTTCTATAAAACCTGGACTGAAAGTGACAGCAGCAAACGGTTAGTTTGAGACAAATAACAGATAGGTAATGGCACGTTGGGGTGTGATGCACCTATACAGTTAAATGGGTTTCTACATGTTTTGCAACAGTTGCATGCTTCTTCCCGACTTTACTTATTTTCTCCATTATTCTTCCTTCCACTTTCACTCTTCCCTTTTCATCTCTCTTTTTGTTTTTCTTTTCTTTCTTCTCTTGCCCTTTTTCTCTCATTTCTAATTGCCTCTTTTTTTATCACTCTTTTTTTTTCTTTCTTTTGGTTATGGTCGAATCCTATGGAGATTGCCTACGTATCATTGACCCCGCATGAATCAGACCGAGCGTAGTTCTGGAAAAATAAGTGCGAAAAGTAAGGAAACAATTTTTTTTGGGAACTTTCAATTTTTTCATTAATAAAACCTCTATTACAAAAGATGTTGAAATACTCATTTTCTTGGAAAGAAAAACTACAAACAGACTCAAAATAAAGCAAAATATACACTCGACGCTTGTCAGATCAGGAATACATTAAAGCTTCAACTACTGGGGCCCGCGGGGCATCATTCGGCCTCGCCGCGGGCCTATGTACGAGACCCCCTTGTAGTCGCTCCAAATAACTCATAACTTGGCGGACGAAAGTCATCACTGCAGCAAAAAAGGTGGTATGAGTCATGTCCTCGCACGCTTGGCACTTCATGGTGATATAGTCAGCGATGGCCCTAATCCTTTCTCTAATTTGGCCCTTTTCCTGAAGTAACTGCCCTATCTGCTGGTTCCGGGCTTCCAACACTTGGGAGTCATAAAAGTGCTGATTTTGCAATTGCTGTATTTCTTTCTCCATTTGAGCCATCAGCTTATAACAATGCTCCCTATCAGCCTTGAAATCTTTAGCCCGTTGGGCTGCCTCATCCTCAAGAGTAGTCACCTTTCTTCTCAGGCTAGTGATGGTCCCTTCATAGTTTCTCTTCATTTGCTGCACAAATCGCGCCCGTTCTTCTGCTTTCTTTGTCCATTGTGCCCGGATTTTCGCTAGACTATCTTCAGACTTTTCCAGGTCTTCTTGGCACTCGAGGACTTTCTTTTTTAGACCACTTATAAGTCTTTCATCAGCCCGACTTCTTTCCAGGTTATTGGCAGCTGTTTTTATCTTTCTGATCTGAGCTTTAAGGGCCTCATTTTCCTGGGTCAGTTTCTTCTTTTCTCCCTTGTCTGCGGCGGCTTGAACACCATTTTCAAATTAAAGCTCCATGACTTGCCTCTCCAATTGGCTTATTTTGGCTCTGTACTCATTCTCCTTACTTAACCAATCCCATTGTACCTGGACCCCATCGGTAAACTGCTGGACATGTGGTCTCTTTGCGGGTCTTTCAGGAATCTGGAATCTTTTGCCGAACCAAACTATGTACTTAGGGTCCACTTCCCCTCTAGCTCGGTCTCGTACTATGGTCTTAGGTTCAAGAAACCTACACTCATTCCATACTTGGCGAATTTTCCCTTCCGGAAATGCGGCTTTTGGGCCCAGTTCAATGGTATGTTTGCTCAAGTCTTCATTATTGTGGACGGTTTGAAATCTTCCTAATTGTCGCAAAACCCTGTAGGGAGCATAGGGCTGGATGCTCCAGATGCCCATCAAGAGGATATAAGACACTTCAGCTGACATGTGAACTGCTTCGGTGGCAGGAAGCCATCCAAATGCCCACTCAATCTTATCGGCAGTCAAGAATCTCAGATGTGCAAGCCAAGCTTCAGTAGCCATAGGGAATTCAATACCTACTACCCTGCTTTCAAATTCTTCAATGCAGCTCAACCCGGTCAAACCATAATTCATGTACCCAACCCGGTGACAGAGGTGTTCTTGCATCCATAACTGTAGTAACAAATTGCAACCCTGGAAGAACTTTCCCCCTTCCCGACAGATAGTCAAGGCTCTATAGATTTCAGATACGATCAGAGGAACCACAGTGTTGTTGGCTTTCTTGATCGCAACATCGATCATTCCCACAAGACCTATCTCTATATTCCCATCTTTTCGTGGACAGACCACAACTCCCAAGAAAGCTACCATGAAAGCTAAACCCCGCCTTGCTTCCCATTCGTCTTTGTTTCCGGCATGGGTTAGCCCAGTGTTTGGCTCTTCAAAACCTCGGGGGTTACCATATCGATGGTACAAGAAATGAAGTGTGCAATACCCTTCCGATAGATTTCCGTTCTGAACATCCCGACTAATACTCAGTAGATCCAGGAACCTATGGGGAGATACCGGTCTTGGTGCCAACGGATATCGACTTCTAAGATTTCCATTAAGGCCCGCATAACCCGCAACTTCCTCCAATGTAGGTGTGAGCTCAAAGTCAGAGAAATTGAACACATTGCGAGTCGGGTCCCAGAAAGGTATTAAAGCTTCAATTATGTCCAACCTTGGCTTGACGTTCAATAATCCGACGAGGCCTCCCAGAACTTTTACCACTGTTTCTCTACTGCCCGTTTCTAGATCATTCCACCACATATGGAGCTTCAAGGGGATCTCCTTAAGGACTGTGAAGGGTTCAATTTCATTCATGCTCATCCTACACATTTATTAAGGTGATTTAAAGACTTATTTTAACCTAAAAGAAGAAAAAGCAACATCATTCTTTTTTCAAAATTTTCATTTCAAAAACAAAACCTCGGCTCTGCGGATACGGCCTTTTAGCACTTCGGGAAAGAAGATTTTAAGACTGTGCCCGCTAACCGTTACAAATGACCCAAGGTGGCTGTTCTTGCAAAAACAGCCTTCCGGCGCCCTTTTGGGGACATTCGGCTTATTTTAGACAAGAATGACATCACCTGACAAAAACTAAAAAAATTTTGTTGTTTTTTTGGGGCTATTTTTGTAAATAGGGGAGTTGGACCCGATGAGGGTTGCCTACGTATCCCACATCCGATGGGAATCAAACTGGCGTAGTTCGGGCAGATTTGACAAAACCAATATTTTTTTAAAACAAAAACCTTTCTTTTCTTTTATTTTCTCAAAAATCCGGCAGAGTTTCAGTACTATTTGGGTATTGGTTTTTTCAAAACAGGTGATTACCCTCACTTAACCCTAACATTGCTATTCTCTTTTTCAACTCTCTCCCATTATTTACAAGTCAGTCAACATGCAAAGCCGAGCAAATAAATGCACAAGTAGCAAGTAAGATGCATCACGGTGGTCTTTTCATTTCAGGTCACCTGTCCTAGACGGACCCAACCCCTGTGTTGAGTCCCCTAAGTGAAATGCACGTGATGCAAACAAACGTTCCTACTAGGGATCCGGCATGAGGCTTTGTTATACTAGGTTGAAAACCTGGGTTTATTGTTCTAGACCCGGCTTACCCGAGCGGATAACTCGAGCCGGGGGGGGGGGGCAGCGTACCGGGGATATAGAAGCTCCGCCGGCTTAGCAACTTGTCCGAACCTCGTTCTAAATGAGATAAGACTCTAAACAGAAGAGAAGTCACATGAAGTGCACCCTTCTCCATGATGTAGAAGACTCAGAGAGAGGAAGGGTTTCGTAGCAGCTTATATATACAATTCAACAAATATTAAAGCAGTAAAGCATTTAGCATGAAACATGTAGGAAAATCAGATAATAGATAAAGCCAATCATAACAGCTACTCTAAGCTCGAATTCTTGAACCCTGAACCGAAATTCTGGGTTCGCATCCCCAGCAGAGTCGCCAAAGCTGTCACACCTCCTTTTTTACACACCCACCCCAAAGGATAGTGTATAAGGGAGTTTTTCCACTTTAAGTGACATTATTCGAAATGGGATTATTTAAGGATCAGAGTCGCCACTTGGGATAGGCTTGTTTCTGGTGTCCCAAGTCACCGGTTTATCTTGAATCCCAAATCGAGGAAAATTTCGACTTTCCATGTGAAGTCTGCGAACCAGAAATTCTGACTAAGAAATTCTGTTAACCCGGGGGAAGGTGTTAGGCACCCCCGGATTCCGTGGTTCTAGCACGATCGCTTAAACTATCATAATTGGCCTATTATCTGATTTTAATACATGTTCCAACCTATAGTGCAATTTTAAATTAATTACCGCTTTTAATTAATTTTAAGGAAGATTGAACGTTGTCTAAAATATGTCTTTGGATCGCGTCACATGAAATGCACCCGTAATCCGGAACACATCTTATTCAACGTTTTAGGATTTGGATTTGGGTCACATGAAGTGCACACCTGAGTATAAGAAGGTAATATTATTAAATAATGTGCCTAAAGCAACTAACGCATTGTTAACTTTGCGAGGGCCATGAGAATTCGCTAAATGGCACGCCTCGAATTCTAAGTATTTTAAAAGAAATAATTATACGTGGGCCACGCACTTGTGATTTTATTTGGCGCAGCGCACCTCAACTTCATTTTAAAAGGGTTCATACTTAACTATATTTGGAGGGCTATAGCTATTTGTATTGCCTAATATAACGCACCTTCAATCTAATTTTGAAAGAGAAAACCAATTAATTAACTAAAGAGAGTTGTACAACTTTATTTTAAAGAAAATTCCAAGCCCATTAATTACTTAGCAAGCCTTGAATTTAAGAATTACTCGGCTCAACATTTAATCCTAACAGCTTCAAGCCTGGGCCCTGATGAGCCCAATGGCTTATGCAGTCCTATTATTCGTGTGGCTAAAAATAAGCCCAAAAAGGAAACCCCAATTTGAGGTCACAGTATAACTGAAAAGCAGGGACTCAGGATCGAGCCCCTGCACTGACATAATCCAGCTCACAAATGAATTCAATATAAGCATGGCTCTTATAGTCAGTCACAAGGAACTGCGACAAAGGACAAATTTCGAAAAAAAAAAAGCCAAGTTCTGAGAAATTCAATTTTAGCAAACAAATAACAAGTACCCTTACTTTCAAACCTTCAATTTAAACTGAATAAAGCATTAGCAAAGTATATTCTGCTGGAACAACTTACACACGATTTTTACCAGATGACACCCCATCGATTTCAAACCGAGGTGAAACACAGATTTAACATATAGGCTACATTAACACAAAAAGAAAAACTCTGCACAAGCAATAAACAACCCTGATTTAACTATAACATGATAATGAAGCATACATATTCAACTACCTACACCACTCTAAACATATAGATGAATAGCATGAAAATTACATATTTATTACAAGAATACTAAAGTAACAGGAAAATCAGAAGATAATTTAAACTCCCAAAAGCCTGTATTCCACTAGTGTTTCAGCTTACATGCTCAACCAAAACATTCACCCATTCAGAGGTTGAGAAATACCTGGAAATGAAAAAGAATAAGGGAAGAAGGTCAGCAGCAAAACAACAGGGCCCAGCGGTAGAACTAAACCCAGGAAACAGCTTTAAACCAACAAAAACTAATGCTCAACAATAAACTTCAACACCAGATTCCATTCATCTCAGCCCGGATAGTTTAGAAAGCTATTTCAGGAATTAGAGTTGAAGAGATCACAAGAAGAAACCAATGAAACAGTAATTTCCACAGACTTCAAACCTAAACTCCTTCTAAAACACACAAACTAGCACTAGACTTAATCCATTTCAATTCTCAGAAGGTATTTCAGAGGTTAGAGGCTGTAGGAATCAAAAGAGAGAAGGAACAACAACTCAATGAAGCAGTATTTTCATAGAGTTTTCAGTCGTTTGGATTTTCAGGACTTTTAGCTCTTAGAAATCTCTTAGGTCTATTGGGTCTGTATTTCAGCTCTTAAAATCTCTACGTTCTCAAATCTGTAGGCTCTAAAATCTAGGCTCTCAAAAATTGACTTCTAAAGCAAGGAAGGCATGCCTTTATAGGCAAGCCATTAGGGCAGCCCTGCACATTTTATTTTGCACTCTTGCCCCTCATTTGTTGACTTGTTTATCAAGTTAGCAACTGAAAATTAATTAAAGGCCCTTGCTAGAAGCTTCTAGGGATTTCCCAGGCAGTTACTGCAAGATTCCTTGACTTAAACTACCTATATTGCCCTTCAATACCCTGCTTTATTACCCCTGAACCCAATCCGGGTCAACTGAACAGGCCAACCCAAATGGGTCACAGACCCAAATGGAGTGCCTATTTGGGCCTACTATTTCTTGGGCCTAAACTAAAACTAAAACAGATTTTCCCAAACAGAGGAACTACAACTAATTCTAATAGAAACGAACGGGCCAAAAATAAAATAAGGAACTGACTAATTCAGATCTAAACTAATTACGAATTTGAAATAATTAACTATGCAATCATACTGATAATGGAATATTCATGTACACAGAAACCTAAAGTGACTTCAAATTAAAATCAAATCGAAAATGAATACTAACAAAACACAGAAGAAGAAAAACAAAACAAAAATATGAACCAGATGAAATGAATGAAAGAAAATACCTAGAACCTCGGATCTTGGCAGGTTGCTTCGAACACTTGACTAAAACAGTCCTTAATCGTGTGTTTTGGTGAGAAAACACACGACTAAGGCCTATTATAGTCAAAATCATCAGTAAAACCCCTTATCTTGGACTTTATGAATTTAGGGTTGAATTGAAATTAAGATTCGAGAACTTTGGCTAATATTTCAGGGAAAAGGGGTGCGGATTAGTGATGTGGAGGTGGAGGAGAACCTATGGTGTAAATTTGGCGGAGATTGGGTGGCGGCGCCGCCGGACACGGCGGAGGAATCCATGGCGGCGCTAGGGTTTTGAGGTTTTGAGGGATTTGGGTGGGATTTGAGGGAATATGATAGTGGATTCATGATGGGGAAGGGGAGAGGGTGCTTTGGTGTGAATTTGGGTGATTTTGGAGACTCGCCGCCGCCGTGGGCGATTTCCGACGGCGGCAGACGACGGCTCAGGGCGGGGACAGGCGGTCTCTAGGGTTTAATCAGAGAAGAGAGATGAGGGGGTGGGGGTGGGGGGGTCGTTAGGACAGTAATATATGAATGGATCTAGGCTTCGTTCGTCCGTTAGATTAAACAACCGTAGACGGCTAGGGATTAATTGGGGAAAGAAACGACGTACGTTTGGGGAATAACTGGGGGTGCTGGACCGGAATTTAGGCCGGGTATGGGGGAGAATTGAACGGGTTTTTGGGCCGGGTATGCGGCGAATTAACTTTTTGGGTTTTTTTGGCTTGGGCTGGGCATCACAAATCAAAGACTGGCCCAATTTTCCTTTAAAGGCTTACATTCTTTTTAATTTCTTGTTTTTCTCTTTTTCAAAAAATTAAAACAAAACTAAAATTAAAATTAAACTAACCTACCTAGCTATAATCAAAACTATTAATAAAATACCAATTTAGAGAAAACTAATAAAATTCCAAGCTAAAATTTAAATCAAGCAAAACAAATCAATTTTTTTTTGTGATTTTAGTATTTTTGTTAAAATCCTAACTACTAATTGATCTAAAATGTAAAGTTAAATCCTAAATGCAAATGGAATGCGTATTTTTTTGTATTTTTTATGAATTATGTTAAATTAAAAATGCACACAGAAAAATGCAAATAAACACGAAAATTATGCAATTAATTCCTAAAAATCAAATAATAAAAAGGAAAAATCCTAATTTTAAGAATTCTGTAGGAGTAAATCATGCGGGGAAAAAATCACGTGCTCATAGGCAGTGTAAGTGATCAAGGGGTAGTAACTCATATCACGGGAGGAAACTTTACGCAAAGTTCTATTACTATTAATGGGTGGCTCCGCGATTTCTTATGGGCACATGCATAAACTGGATAAAGCTATTATTCTAATCTAGACTCTAAAAGAATATGTATGTTGATTCATATCAATTAATTAGAAATTAATTCGAGGGAAGAGAGACCCATACAAATTGATCATGTGCCAGGAACCAGATTTGAACTGGTGACACGAGGATTTTCAGTCCTCTGCTCCATGAGCGATTGAGTCCATACTTATTTATCATTAGAAAGACCTATTAGTAATAATTTGAGTTTATTCATTCTGTCTTTCTTTATAAATTTTTATAATCTATGGATAAAATAAATACGATAAAAACCAATATGAATATTATAAAGACAATAAAAAAAATTATTATGGAATTGATTAAAACTTTAGCATGGGCTCATGAACGCACACCTTTGGCCAATTTGATTCGCTGGAGAGATAAACCAGTGGCCCTTTCCATTGTACAAGCAAGATTGGTTGGACTAGCTCACTTTTCTGTAGGTTATATATTCACTTATGCGGCTTTCTTGATTGCCTCTTGTGCATGAATTTGGATCCGACTAAGTAAGAAAAACAGTCTCGTGTAGGGGTGACAAATGGGCGGGCCGGGTTTGATATGGACATGTCGAAAACGGTAATATAAAAAACGGATAAATTATCCAACCCAAACCATATTTAATATGGATAGAAAACAGATCAACCGGCGGATAATATGGACATCAAACGAAAACTAAGGGCATGTTACAGAAAACTAAAGAAAAATAACTTTAGAAGATAATTTGAGATAGTTGAGAGACCATTTCAGTAATTGACTCACTAAGGGCATGCTACAGAAAACTAAGGGCGTACGTTCACTATAGCCAAAAGTCTAGCCTCATCAGTTTCAAGCGAGGACCACTTATTTATTTTTATTCTTGTTCTCTTTAAAAAATAACTGGACGGAAATGGAAAGTTCAATTCAAAGGGATCGCAGTTATGACGTGCCAAGCCATGTTTACTTGTTTAAGCTTCTAAAGGCATGCGCCAGGTACCAAAACTGTACACGGTTGCATAATCCTAATGTAATCCATAGGTGTATTATATTTAGGACGGATACTGTAACTTCAACTTAACATATTAGTTATATATAGTTCGAGCTATATATATGAAATGAAAAAAAAGATATTAAATATATATACATATAAAAGATTACGACTCATTCTGATTTCATTAATTTAGAAGTAGATGATGTGGAGAAGATCGAGCCCCTCTTTTTTCCTATTGTTTTTTTTTTCTTTTCGAAAAGAAGAATGAGTCTTCCTTCATATTTAGTCCAATCAGAACATTGGAAAAGAGAAAGATGAAGAGACTTGTTTGACAATAAATCATCTCAAATTTATTAAACCAACACATATGCGGTAATGAAAGGAATAAATATCCGTGTGAAATCTACGTAATTTTAATCATGTACAGATGATCGTGCATGTAACTGAACTGGACGATGAATTGAAATGATATAATATAAGTGTAATAATATCAAAATCAGTGCTTTTGGGTGGTTTTTTGAAACTTGTCTTTGATCCACTGAAAACCTGAGGAAGTACCTTCTTTCACCTTCTTCATGCTAGTTGAAGCCACTGCCTTTGTTTTTTCTCCCACCTTCTTTGCCACTCTGCCACCGCCGCCACCGGAATTGCTTTTTTTGGTGTCTTTGGAATATGGTTCTGTATTATTGTAGTCCCACTGATCAGCCCATGAATTCTCATATGCACTGTTCCTCTCCATATCTTTTTTGTTTCTTCTGTGATCAAAGATGAGAATTTTGAAAAAAAAAAAATGAGAAAGAGGAAGAGGTCCACGAAACTTTGGGAGAAAAGAGAGTTGATATAATCTTGGAGTTAACAACCTATGCGAAAGTGGGGATGTTCTATAAGCAGCTAAGGTCAAGCAAATCAATAAATTATCTATTGTAAGTGCCAAAATTCTCCCTGCCAACTTGAGAAAGTACACGCGAATAATTCAATTTTTGACCAAGTAGATAGGGAAAAGAAAGCTCCAAAACATAACACTATATTTATAAAATTTATAAAATGACAAACTAACTGAGAAAAAGATAGCTGATATATTGAGTAGTTCAGTTTTTGAATTAATTCCCTACATCAAACCAGTGTGTGAGTGCGTTCATAATTTGTTTTTTTCTGTATTTGTTCCGAGGGAAACTATTGCCGTTTTATACTTTTGGGTTTTTGAGTTTTAAATGAATATATGCTAGGACAGTGTGATAAATAGACACAGAATGGAGTTCTAATCTGTTTAGCCAAGCTTCTAAAATCAGCTTATTTGATAAGTGATTTTCTCAACAGCACTTTTCAAAGCACTTTAACTTTTTAAAATTGTTTCTACGTCTATTTTTCTCAAAAGTGCTTTTGGAGAAAAGTATTTTTTTTCTGCTTCTCAAAAACTACTTCTGCTTTCCCTCAAAAGCACTTGTTGTTTTTCCTTCTAAAAGTTTGGCCAAACACCTCAATTGTTTAAAAATATCACCTATGGCCCAAAACAAAACTTGCCAAACAAGCTATTAGTCAGCAACTGAGCTAGAATGTAGAATGGTGACGGTATGTTTTCTTTGACTGTAACAAACTAATTCACAAAGCCCACGCTTTTTTGGCCGAACGAATAAACGATCTGCAGGCACGCACCGCACGAATCTTTCGTGTTAAATTTCCTTTACTGTTTCTTTCTTATTTTTCCCGTCAATTTGACATTTCTGCCGAAGGACGTTATTCTTATTCTGTGTCGAGGAATTGTATTGCTCCTCTTTTCATTTTTTTCAATTTCCCTGATCACGCCCAACTATGCCTTATAAAAAGGACTCTGCGAACGTTGCAAATATAATCCGAGTATTACGCCCAGGGTCGAATCCACAGAGAGTTAACCTATCAATCACTATCTTTAGACCCACTAAACTCTTCAGAACCAGTTTTCCAGATGTTTGAATCATAGTTGAAGGTTGCTTTACTAACTACGATTGCAAGTAAATCAAACAGCTGTAAGTTAAAATGCTAAGGTTGTAAACAATGATGAGAAGAAGCTAAGGCAATGATTTCCCCTATTGAAAGAATCCCTTCTGTTTATGCTCATACAAATTTACCAATACATCTCTATTAATCATGAACGCTCATCTTACCGTAAATCTCTCCCGAGTAATTACAGTAATATACTAGTTGCACTCTCCCGAGATACACTAGCTTACTTTATTTAGCACAATTCACTTTAGATTACACCCAAGGCTTCGTTATCCCTAATCCCGCCTTTAAACCCGTAATTATAGATTCCTCTTATACTTTGGGAGTGGTGTTGTTCAACAATAACCTAAATATGCACTCTTTTCCAAGTTATGCACACTAAATAGGCACAGCTAATTGAGGATCCTGTCAATTAACTACAACAAGCACAAAGTGAACAAATAGAGATTGAAACTAGCAATTTGTATTCACATAAACAAGATGTTCATCCCCCAATAGGTTCCATCAAAGCCTTAGACAAAGGATTTAGCTACTCATGGCTATGAAAAAAACAAACTAAGATACAATTCATCATAACTAGCAATAAAAATCAAAGAAAATAAGAAAGATGTTTTGGGTGATCTCTCACAATTGTTTTCCTTGCCAAGATACTCTAAAATTCAATACATGCCTCTCTTGGGCGAAGTCTTGTATTTAAAATAGGGTTTAGGTCTAAAAATCCCGTGTTTTACACTTTAGTCCCTGAAGTTTTCTGCTTCCGCCGCGGTTCTGCCGCGGTCGCGGTCAAACCGCGGCCAAATGCCTTCTCTGAATCTCAATTTATCCGCAGCTATCTTCCACCGCGGTTCTACCGCGGTCGCGGTGGAACCGCGGTCCACCCAGTCCTCTGAATCTTCAGGCCTGTTTTGCGTGGTTTCCTTGGGAAATTTCACAGTTGGCCTCTTTTTCTTCATTTTTGACTCCAAAAATACTCCCTAGCCTTCCCTGATCATATATCACCTGCAAATCATGAAAAGCACTAATAAGAGCATTTTGTTATCACTTTTATCATCAAAACTATATAAGAAGGTGATTATTTAAGGCGTGATTATAGTTAAATTCACCTATTATCAACACCCCACACTTAAACCTTTGCTCGTCCTCGAGCAAGTTAAACCACACTTCTAGGCCTAACCGTTTAATACATTACCCCAATTTATGCCACACTCGCCATTACGAAAGACCAACCTAAGCAATGCAACAATCATACCTCAGATGCAGACTCTCATGCCATAACACGCTCGTGCTCACTCTAGTTACTCTAACAGAAGTGAAGAGTTACTTTTTCTTCCTGAGTCACATGCCCTCACATCACAAGTCTAAGAGAAGTTCCCCACACATAAAATTTCGATAATAAGGAACCAAGGATAGAAAGAATTCACTCACTCTCAGCAAAGAGCATTCATATGCTACACAGACACTCCATAAGCTTGCCCCTAGTGTGCTACTCTACTAATCGAGCTGTTCAGTCAAAGATCAAGAGGTCTTCATTTGGTTGTAATGTAGGCTAAGGGACGGGTAAGATATATTTGGATATAGTGACTAACCTCCCTAAGCACTTTTAATACATACCTCCTTTTATTTCAATTTCGATGCTCAGCCCAATCGTTCTTCCACATCTTTGTTTCACGTGTGACCCCCACTTTTCTTTAGGTGCACTGCTTCTCTTTTTTTTTCTTTTTCTTATTTTGTTTTCTTTGTCTCATTTTTTTTCCAATGCCTGCGCACCAATCAAAACAATTCATTCTTGATTCCCCCCCCCCTTTTTTTTTTTGCTAACTCCCTACTACCCCACACTTTGACTTTTGTATGTTCTTTAGTGATTCAAGCGCTTCTAGGAGGTATAGGTTCAAAAAATCAAGCTATTCAACACAGAGATTTAGGTCATTATAGGGTTATCAAAGAACAGGCTTCAGGCTCAAAGGGGTTAACTATGGCAATATATACTGGTGGATTCACAATTATATAGGGTTGCACAAAGAAATGCCTCAATCATCTCTAAAACCAAACAACTTCTATTTCGCTTTGCAAACACACAGGACAAGTTCTAGGTATCGCATGCAAGCATAGAATGCAAGTAATATCTCCCACTCACTTAGCATGCAACTCATTCCGAATTAGTTCATCAACACATTCATACGAGCATTCAAGCAAGACAAGATGTGCAACATTAAGTCATGGATTTACGAGTCCACAAGCGAGCCTAGACGTCACACTCTCAAGTTCCTTTTAGTTATTTGCAAGTGTGCATATCAGAGGTTGTATTCTAACCTTCACCCATTTTAGTCCTAAAACTACAAAAGGAAAATCTACCTAACCCGGTTCAAGAAAAGCCCTTGGAAAAGAACCGTGGTCAAAAGAAAAACCAAGGGGAAAGTATTACACTACCTAGAAGAAAAAAAATAAAAAAATAAAAAAAAAATTCTACATGGACTACTTCCCTCAAGATTACTGTCCAAGTGGTCCGTCGTCAGGAAGAGTCCTCTAACTTGTTTTCAGTTTACATTAGTTCCGACTTTGACCCTCAAGAGACCCGTCAACAAGTGTCCGTCGTTGGGCCAAGTCAGCTTCTCCTAATATAAGCACGCTCAAATATATACAACACATCAATCTATTGCTACAGCACAACAACATCTATATACATTACAACACACAGTCAGAGAAGGTCTCCCACCCCACACTTAAAATCATGGCATGTCCTCATGTCATATCAAGAAATTAAAGAGCAGAAGGGTGAGAAGACTTCCCTGAGACTCAATCAGAGTCGGAGACGGTGCTGGGGTCTACATGGCAAGCTCTCCCCAATGCACGTAACCAGGCCATAAACTGGCTCTCAGATCTAGACTGCCTCTGCGACATGGCATCCATCCGCGTGTGTAGGCCATCCACCGAGGTGCGGAGATCCGCGACCTCTTCCTCCAAGGAACGCAGCATAGGCTGGGAGGACTGTGAGCGGGATAGGCCTGCTCCAGAATGGGGGCGCCGAGAGGGCCCGGCACTATCAACAGACCTCCTGGACGGTGCAAGAGGAACCGGATCATCATCCTCATCATCTATCTCAATTGTGGTACTTGTACCCCGGCCCACTCTGATGCCCGAGGCTCTGAATGCTGCTCTAGGGGGCAAGTCTCCATCGGCAGGATTGGTGGGGGTATTTTTCAGCAGGCACAGTGTAGTCACCAAAGAAGGGAAGTAGAATCCCTTTGACAACAGCAGCCCCCGTAGGACCATTTCATCACTAATTACCCTTGCCGCATCAAAATCCTTCTTCGTCACGAAGCACCATGTCAACAATGCACGCTGGAAGTTCACGTCAGTTGTGTTGCTTGAGGGCAGGAACCGGCTGCAAATGACAGTTAACTAACACTTAGCCAAGTGTGTGAATGAGTTGGAGTTCAGGGTGATTTGGTCACGTATCCATGTTGGTCTTCCCTCTGCACAGAGTATATCAGTCATGACCTCCCATGTGACCCCTGGCCTGTCGTGGTAGTAGTCAATGTCACTAGTGAACTGAGGCAGCCGCAACACCTGGCGAATCATGGGAATTGTGGCGCTGACCACCTTGCCTCGCACAATCGCCCCCCTACTTAAGTTCAATGGGCAGTTGGCATAAAAGTCCCTAACAAGCATCTTGTTGACCGGGGCAAGGTCATCAAATAAGAATTCCATTTCCCTCCTCCGAATCTCTTCATATATTTCTGCCTTTTCTATGCGGAGGGTTGCCCGGTCAAGCGAGATCTCATGGATGAAGTTCTTCGTAGCCTTGGCATGAAAATCGTCCTCCGCTAGTTCTGATTGGAACCTGGATTCATCATAGGTGGGCCGTTGGGATGCGCCTGCCGATCTCCTTTGCCTTTTTGGAGCCATAGTACCTACAAAAATTCAGAAGAACCATAAAATATATCCTTCCTGTGCCAGTGGGGTGGGTACTCAGACTTCACCACCCAATGGCACCATACACTTGCCCCC